TTTTTTTTTTGAAACCAATGTTTTTCATTCATAACTTAAATAATTACAAGGATTAAAGCAACATCAAAGCAGTGATGTGCAGTCTTTTTAGGAAAATGAAGAGCAAAACAATGTAAAGATAGAGACACAAACTTAGACAAGTTTGATAATATGTCGAAGGTTACAAAGGTGCCACCCACCAGTAACCACATGAAGAAGTTGTTGCATCCTTTTAATTTTTCAGACTTGAAAATAGTCACTGTATGTCGTGACGTTGAATGTTCCGAGACCTTGGATCTCACTGGAATGAGTCTCGTTGTAACATCCGGTCCCAAACGGACCATTACACAAGATAACAAGCAGTAAAGAGAGTAACTATGGTCATTGGCTTTGAAACCAAGAAGAGAGTACCTCTCATAGAGAGGAGATTTGGTGGAATGGTTCACTTCTGCAAAGAGAAGGAAGAGGGAAAAGGATCTCTCATGGCCCTGACATGAGGAGGTTTGACTAGACTTGTTTATTAAAGCTACAGGACTGCAGTCTTCAAGCAACAAATGACTTCAAGCTAAACTTTGAATGTGACGAACATGAATATTTGTACTATTTAAGCCGAGTTGCCTATTCAATGTGACGAACATGAATATTCAAGCCGAGTTTTTTGGACTATTTATTTTTGTTTATTATGGATATAAGTGTTTTAATCTATTTTACATCATATACAATCCAGTGATATCGTATTTGATTGAATTTTATGTGGACTTGGTGAATTTGATTTCAGGTTTTTGATTGACTTCAATTTTGGTGAGGGTTGATTAAGCTATAAGCATATCACTGGATTGTGACATGGATGCTGAGCGTGAGCAGAAGCTGCAGATTCTTCATATTTACTCGAAAAGGTACATTTGTCACATGTTAAACCAAATTGTTTTTGGCTTGAGCCAATGTTACAGCCAAGATCTTGCTTTCACTTTTATCCGCAGGCTTTATGAGAGGAAGAGGAGGAATCCCAACGTGAAACACACTTTCTCTCTCTCTCTACGGAATCAATCCATCAGATATTTTTTCTTTCAACCCCTTTCCGTGTGGTTGGACTTGGACGCCTGAATCGTCTGCGACCTGTTTAACGCACAAAGTCTCTTCCTTTACTCTCCCACTTATTCAAAAACTCAATCCTTTCTTTCTCGGGTCAAAATCTCATGAGCCACGGAAACTGTATATAACCATCGAATCAAGCTACCCAGTATCTCCATTACTGGATATCGCATTGAAATTTTGAGATAATAATATTCATAGTGTTTAGTTTTTGCGGAGATGATTGATCATGGTAGGAGCTCGACCTTTGATTACCTGAGCATTAGAGAGGCCGCATGCAACGCCGGAGACACCGCAGGTTCAGTTTTGATTCTATCCCCTTGAGTCGTGTGTCCTTGGTGTGTTCTTGAAAGAAACTTACTGTACCCTGATCAGTTTGATCTGAGCCTTTCAGCAGAAGAGAAACAAATATACGACAAGTGCAAGGTCTTTGCGCTGTTCCACTCCAAAGAAAAGCACAAGGAACTGATTCCAAAGGCCATTGAGGAGCACCGGATTCTCGAAAGAATCCAGGATCTTCAGGTTTGATGCTTATTCTTTAACCAAGGACTTGAGAAATGCTTACAAAATCAACCAGGTGGGAACTAAGTAAGGGTTTTTGCTTAATGTTGCTAGGAAGCCAGAGCTGCTGGTTGTACGACAACTACAAAATTTAATAGATTTATAGAAGAGAAGAGAAAGAAGAAAGCTGAATTTTTTTTGCTGCAACTAAACCATGGTGGACAAGGCAATGTAGCTGGTAAAGCACTAAAGAGTCCAAGAGGGTTACAAAGAAATTTACAGTCCTTTGGTTCTGACTCGCTGTCAAAGGCCACGTTTCCAATAATATGTAGCTCCTTGGACAATTGGGGCGTCAGTGGTCTCCTTGGAGCAGACTTACTCTCTGAAACCGTAAGTTTCATTGTTTCATATCTGGTGATTATCATTCGAATTGTTTCCTTGGTTTGAGATATTGAAGCTGTGCGCTTTGTGCAGGAAAAGAAGATGTGCAACGAGATGAGAATACTGCCTGCACACTATTTCAAAATACTGGAGACCTTAAAGAGTGAGATAAAGAAAAAATCTGATGCTTATAGCTTCTTCAGAGTAGAACCGAGTCAAGTAGACAAAGTATATGATCTGCTGAAACAGAAAATATTCCAGAGCTCAATCTCCATTATCGACCAATTACCTATCATGATGAACTGAGCAGACCCTCATCATCAGAAGCCAAGGAGCATCATAGAGTTATCATCTAGCTTCAGTCTGCTGTGACGGATCTTTATCAGCTGCAGTTAATGTGTTAAGATCATATCCTCTGGGTTCTTGATCATTCCTTACAGCAAATTCATTACCGTCAAAGCCGTTTTTACAATTTCCGCTGCGAGAAGACTTCACTATAATAGATAGGTACGGGAACAAAATTTTAAAGTTTTGTTTTCTTCTTTTTTCCCTCTTACCCTCTGTTTTATGTGTTACCGCCGTCTGTGTTGTGGTAAAGGGATGGGTGGAAGTTGTGTATATGAGAAGAAGTGCTGCATATCAATCTATGAAGAGCTACAACAATGTACAGTTAGCGGAAGAGACTGTAGCTCACCACCAAGTCCGTGCTCTGGAGCGTGTTTGTGCTCAGAATGGCGCTGACATCTTCATTGATGATAAATACAATATCTATGATGCTGAGAAGACTTATGAGGTATTATTTTTGCAATCATTTTTTCTTTGGGTTTGTGATTGTTCCTTGAAGCAAGTAATGTCTCTTTGGACAAGTGGATTTTGTCCTGACTGGGGTCATGCTAATGCAGTTATGTTATTGTAGAATGATGGACCAGGTTAAAGCTTTTAGCGAGAGGGAGAGATGGAGAATACTTTACTGCTGATAGGGAACTTTGTAGAATATGTTAGCAACAAGGAAGTCAAGGTGCATCAAACATTGGTTTAATGTTTTAGGAACATGAGCAAGATCAAACATTGTTTTACAGTTAAGGAGCATATACAATAAGTATAAGGTCATTATATATCTATCAATTGGTCGCTTGCAATGTCATTGTGATCAGTGCCGGCTCTAGGGGTGGCTAACATGGCATATCTCATGGGTCCATCTTGAAATTAATTAAATTTAGTGATAAAAAGGGTCTTTATATATATTGGTTTCTCAATATGGGTCCAAAATATTATGCTTAACCAATTATAAGACATTAAAAAAAATTTTCCATAGGTCCAATATAGTTTTAAGCCGGCACTGGTTGTGATTTACAAATACATAGGCCAGGCCAACATCTGAATAAAAAGAGATATGCAGAGTATTACAAAGTTTACGGTCAGATATATGTTACCTTTTACCTCTTAGTTGATTATTTATCGATGTGATCTATAAATCCATGTTTGTCCTCGGTTGTTTAATTACTCTATAAGATTCACTTAATATTGTCACAAAAACTAATTTGATGCTTTGACAAAATATTTTAGAAAATTAATGTAAAAACAAACTGAAGGATAACTTATGTTTTCTAAAATATATAACTTATTATTTTTTATTTATCGAAACAGAATAAAATTAATATGAAATCTAAAAACTATCAGAAATTAGCTTTATATCTTGGTTAACTTTAAAAATATGAAAAGCATTTTAATTAAATATCTAAATTATCAAAACTTCATATCTTAAAGCAATATGAAAAACAGTATCAAAATAACTATAAATAAAACCAATTTAAAAGAAAATTAAATTGATATTTAGAATACGTTTATGGAAAATCAGTATAAAAGTTTAACCTACAGACTAAAGAAATAATATCTGACAATGTGAACTTTCAAAAAATAAACTATAATAACCATTACCTTTAAAAGAAATTAATCTAAACAAATTAAATTGATATCTAAACAACCTATTTGGAAAATCTTATCTCTAATATATACAAAAGGCTATATTTTGAAGTTTGAGTTGATTGAATTTTAGTAGATGCAGACGGTGAATACCAAATAACTCCAAATTGAAGTTTGAATTCATTGAATATTTTGAATCTTACCTACAATGTATAAAAGGTGAAAATATCTCTAATATATGATTGATTCTTACAGGTTTTACCGTTTTAGCAGTTGAAATTTCAGCTGAAGTTGTAATCCATGTCACATCTCACTTAGCATGTGATTCCTTGAATTTGCAGCAAATAAACAAAGAGACCTATGGATTTTGTGTTGACAGTGGAGGAGCTACAAGGATTGCAACGATTATATTAATAACAATAACCTTTTAATTAGCTACACCATAGTTTAGACGCAATAAGCTAAAGCTTTTTAGAGCGGATCAAAATTCTTGAGTTTTTAGACATGTTATATAGACAAAATAATCAACTAATTACAATAAGGTAAGAAAAAATGAACAAAAAGTAGGCAATGACTCCAAACCAAACTGGTATCTGACCTCTTTGATAGATAGACCTTCGATGTTATTCTTCATCTTCACCTTCCCTATTTCTATGATTTATGTGTATTCGAATTTTATAATCACTACACATAGAGTAGAGAAGAACTTAAAGAAAAATATATAAATGTGAAGTATATTAGTCAGTTTAGAAAATAAATACAATCATTTTCATCCATATGTGACCTCTATTAGTTTTATTTACTTTCTCAAATTAGTATTGATATGTTGTCTTTCAAAGGTACATTTAAAAGGTAAAGAAGTTTATTTCATTCATCTATTATTTTAATCTCTATCTAATTCTCAACATCTTAACTTTGTACCCAAATAAAATCTTATTTTTAATAGTTACAAACATTTAACATGTTCTATAAAAAACCGAGTAAACAACATATTTTTCCAAATTTTAGTTTTAATTTTAATAATAACTAGAAATAAAAGGTACTTAAAATGATAAGTAATAAAAACATACAACCAGAAGAACAAGTAAGCCTCATCCAACCTTTATAATATAACACCGCAACCTTTTATTCTGTACACAACCATCCAAAACAAACATAATACATTTTAACATATATATTCCTTCCACGTCCAAACATTCTTGAAAACCAATAAACGTCATTATACACCTTTTTATTTGTACGATTAATTACATAATATATAAGCAAATATAACAAAAATACCACACAAAAACAAAGAAATGAAAAACAACAATAAATTGTTAATAATAACAGTTACAAACATTCTGCGAAAGAACTATAATAACTTTGACAGAGTGTCTTTCTAAATCAAAACCTCATTCTCCATATTTTAACCCTAAAAGAAATGATACAATGGTATTAGAAAACTCGATCTCATTCTCTTTTGATCGATTCCGCTTAGTTTATGTATTTATAGTGTTATAAAGCTTAAAACACTATAAAAAGTTACAATTCAAGATTAAAACAGTAACAATACTAATAATTCGATCATTTTTATTTATATAATTAAAATTTGGTAGAGGCAACATAATCATACTCACACCCAACTTAACATAAATAAAATTTACACAAAATTATATTTTTTTATAAAAGTCGATCCATCAAATCCCGCACGTAGCGCGGGCTTCCCCTAGTTTTTTAATAAGTAGGAAGTGAAATTTAAACAAAAAGTAAAATGCTGTTCATTTTCCTATCATAAATAACGAGAATGTACCTTTCAAACTGGTTTGGCGTTCATAATGGAGAAACGCCAATGTTAATTATGGAGCTCTAACCAACATCGCCTTTAGTAACCCGAGTTCCTACCATCATTGTTGGGAATGATGTATCCCATGGCTCCCTTGGAGATTATGTCATCCATCACTTGCAGCGGTTGTAAGTTCATATAATGGGCACATGTATAAATTATAGGGTATGTGTTTGTGCACAATCACAAAAATTATGTCATACCATCATTACAGCAGTGTGATACACTGGACACTTATTCAAATTCTCTATGTTGATTTAAAAACGTATGAAAAATAAGCTAGCAGTATGATGTATATTATCCTCAATAAAAGGGCATAAACATATGTAATTTTTTTGTTTATGTATTTTTTTAATAACCTTGGTAATTGTAATTAGTATAAACAAAAGTTTAGCCAAAAAAAAATCATCATAATTTTTCAAAGCTCTAAACTATTACAAAATATAAGTTTTTCTTTTTTGTAGTTCGCGGAGAAATTTATAACAAACTCATGGTTCATTTTCAGACATGACACTAAAATAACTTATTTCGTCTTTTTTATTGAATAGCTGATTTCTCATTTTTCCTTAATATATGAATTGTATTTTAAATTTTATGAAAATAATTTTTTGTTAAATCTTCACTTAACTGTAATATGTTAGGAAAGAGATACATGATATATTACCTTAATTAAAGAAATCATGTAATAGCAATTGCTTGTGGATTTTATAACTGAAAAATAAAAGAAAATACAAAATCTGTTATTAGAGTATTTTTCACTCTTTTTCTTTATTTTATTGGAGGGCTATGATTGATGTCAAATAAGGTGAGAAAGAAATTCGGTTGCATAATAGGAATTATTAAATAAACTAGTGGTTTTCCCGGGCTACGCCCGGATTTTCTTATATAAATTTTAATTTAATTTAATTTATTATACTAATTTTCAATATATATAATACCTATATATCGATTTTTAAAAATATAAATCATAAAATGAAGTTTAAATTATTAAATTGTAAACAAACTAATATTGACAGTAGATGTTATATATTTTTGTTTTAATTATGCTAAGATTTTAAATAAATTTATATGATATTTGATCAAAAACTGTAATGTCTAGATGTGATTGCTTGGTTATTGTTTGATGAACTATTTTTTTACAAGCTGATGTATTTAATAATGTCTTTGTATAGGTAACTGTTTTATTCTTCAAAATTTTGATAATGTCTATTATAGTATTTTTTAATAAAATTTTGTTTTTGATGTTGAAGCGGGTAATATTTTTCTCCAATTTACTTAACAAAAAACTATAAATATCATACCTGATAATTCACATTTAGATAAATTTATATTTATTAGTTTTGTTTAAAAATTTAAAACTTTTTTGAAAAAAATAATTGTATATTTATTTTTGCCAACAATCGTATATTAAAGTCGTGTATATTAAATTTTGTTATATAATCATTCATAACTACAATAATGCTACTACACTGAGTCCATAATACTTAATAGTTTTAAAAAAAATTATATACTGAGATTTGTGTAAGCTTACATGCATTACAAATGCTTGCATGACATTTTGATAATTAAATACAATTTTGATTCTTGAATAATTATAGTAAATATGTGATAACATTTGGTGGGGGTTATTGATTACCTTATTTAGTGGATTTAGAAAAACATTTGGATTTAGAAATCTTTGATAAATCATATGATTTAAAATCGAGCAAATAGATTTAAGAATCAAATATATTGATTTCAAACGAAAATAGCTTTTTTAAGAAAATCAAGGATATCCAAATTTTAATAAATCATATGATTTTAAAATCGAGCAAATAGATTTAAGAATCAAGGATGTTGATTTCAAAATGATTTAATTTTCGTTTCGTTTTTTTTACTTTCGATTTTAGAATTGTTGGGTAATTCAATTTTTCCTCGTTTTGGTTAAACTCTTGCTGGAGCTTTTTCTTTTCTTTTAAACTCTCATTTTACGGAAATATTTTAGAAATCAAGGATATTGATTTTAATATGGTAATAGATCTAAGAATCAAGAATATTGATTTTAAAATCGAGCAAATAAATTTAAGAATCAAGGATATTTATTTAGATATTTCATATTTAGAGATATGAAAGTTGTCATCCATCTTGAAGATTAGGTTGAAAGTGAGAAAGTTTTTTTTTTAATTTACGGGACTAAAAATATTTATTAAAAATCATATCATTTGTAAAAATCAATAAAAATTCAATTAA